TAGGCCCCCTTCGCAATTGTGGAAATAATTAATCATGAAACCCACCTGATTTTAAGATGACTGACTGGACCATATTTATACCTCAACACATGTTGGATTTTAATAAATATGACACCAATAGCAAAGCAGACAGTGATACTTTTAATTACTATGTTAATAACTGTGTATAGTTTATTAGACGGCTGGTAAAAAAAATACGCTCATATAATGGTCATGATGGGCTTTACGGATCTGACCCACATGCAGAAGCACACTCAGAAGCCAAGGGAAAAAGTTAACAGGTTTATTGTGGTTTACAAAAACACAGACTGAGAGATATACAGCTGGGTAACACTGTTGGACCTCAGTGGACTGGTGTACCGGAACCAAACTCTGAAGAGGAGATCACAATGATTAGTTCAGGGACCGTAAGAAAAAAGACCGAGGCTTGTAATTTGCAGGAGAGGCACTCACGTTTGGGGAACTCTTGGTTAATCTTTGGATCCAGTTTGTGGGGTCTTATCCAGAGATGGAAGAACTCATTGGAGGGCGGACGGGCAGACTAACGTTGGGTCCAGAGGAGCAAAGGAGCGGACTGTCACCGGGTTTTCCTGAAGAGGACATGAACGGATCATGTGGAGGTTTCCCCTTGCTCAACTAAGACTCAGTTTATCCTTCCAGGGGAGTAGAAGGCTTATCCAGTGGATGAGGAAGGCTTCCTGCCAGAGAACAAAGACAAAGCAAGCTTAGACTCAGAAAGACAAGGCTGGCTGAAAGGTTAGACTCAGCTAATCTCAGTTCGGCTAGAGTACCCAATACTGGCAAAAACACTCTGGCGTCGAGGTAGTGACAGACCGCTGCTCAAATACTCCTCTGGTAATGACCCAACGAGCCGCAGGTGTGCGAGGAGGCCCAAACAAAGACAGGGCACCATCTAGTGGTGGAAAAAGAAAACACAAAAACAATAATGTTTCAAACCACAATAAAGATATTAAAACAATTAGTATTTTATTTTTTATACACTATGACTTGGAATTGTGGATAATCCAGAGTGTTGCACTTTATATGGGGCCCACCCAGATAATGTTGCTTACAGGCAGGGCCGGTTCTAGCCCTTTGGTTGCCCTAGGCGAGATTGAGTTTTGCGCCCCCATCCACCCCCCCCTCACTTTTGCCGTGCGAAATACCAGTACTGTTTTCAGCATCTGTTTAGTGCTTCATTGAGTTGTGTTTACAGTTCCACAAAGAGTGCTGTGTGGTGAATTGTGCCTACAGTTGTGCAAAGTGTGTGTTACAAAATTGCAAATTGAGTGCAAAGCAGTGTTTGTTCTTTTAGTTTTGTGAACTCAGTTTGTGGATTTGCTATAAGTATTAATAGTTTTAGAAATTGTGCTATAAGAATCAAGGTTGTGTTTAAGCATTCAGAAAAAACTATAACTTAGCATGGAGTGATGCATAGACAAATACCAGAATAGGTTTCAGTACCTCTTATTTTTTATTATTTTAAATAATTTATTACACACTCAAAGTTAGGACTGTGCAAAAACACTTTTAACCATCTGTAAGGACACTTAGGTAAAGTATAACTAAAAAACTGGATTGAATCATTGAATGAATTTATTTCAGACAATTAACAAATTTAACACACATGAAACAAATATTAAATAAATCAATTTCAGAAATTACCAAATAACAATAAAAAATAATAAATTTAAGAAATTCTTCAACCAAGGACTACATAAAAAAGTAATTGATAAACATTAAATTAAATTTTCTGTTCCAGTTCAATTAAATCATTTGAACATAAATAGAAATGAGATAAACAAAATTTTCCTCTAACTAAAATATATCAGGTATATTTACCCTGATTTCTGACATTGATTAGTGATTAAAGAAAGGATTAACCCTCTACAAACAAAAGTGCTTTTATTAATACCATTACAAAATTAAAAGTTTGAAGTTGTTGTTGTTGTTTTTTGTTCACATATTCTATGATGAACAGCCATAACTTCATATATTTTGATGATTATTTGTACATCCCTTTTGAATACTCAATGCAGATAATCACTACAAAATATTTTATTTATATTAGTATCTTCTACCCATTCTCAAGCTAATAATATAGCACATAATTCTGCTGCATATATACTGAGAAAAAAATTATGTCAACATTAGGGATGGGGATCGTTAATATTTATTGATATCGATACCTTTATCGATACTCCTTATCGATCCGAGTCTTTATCGATACCACTATTGATACTTTTCTGTTATTTGGTGGAAAGACGATGCAACAAAAATTTTTTTAACAGAACTGGTATTGCTTCTATTGCTTAACAAGTGAGCATAACAAAAACGTTTCTAGCCTTCAATAAACATGGCTAATGTAATAGGCCACTTCGAAATGACATAAAACTAACTAGAATATATTTTCACAATTGTTGGTTAATGTATTGTCTACTGTCACTTTTCATCATGTTTTTAGTGATTAGGAAAATATTTAACAAATAAATAATTGTATTTTAAATTAAATGTAATTTTTAATAAATGTTGGCATCAGTAGTTTAATTATATATTCTAAAATAATTAAAGCAATATACAACTGTATTACTCGTTTCTCGCCAAAAACAAAATTTCCCGTTTTCTTTATGTTACACTTGAACGCATCATGATAACCTAATTGTCGTTTTACTGAGCCAATCTGAACACATCATCACGCAGCACGTCTGAAACTTTATTTACTTTTCAAGCTAACTAGCTTGTATGCTGCCGATTACAAGACGGATTTCACAATTAATATTTTTAACTGACCGGACAAGCTACAAAGTCTGTGTGCGCGCTTATCAGTGGTACTCTGAGTGGATGATTAAGACGTGGTGCAGCGTCAGCAGCTGGAGGAGGAGAGGGGAGTCTTTTCTGTTCAGCCATCCTCGAGTCGCAAGCAAAGTTAAGTGCCAGACTTTACTTGTTTTACTTTTAATATCTGTTTGCTTACAATTTCATTCCAAAATATTGGTGGACATGCTGCAGTGATTGACGTCACGACTTCCGGGTTGGAGGGCGCTTGAAAGGTGATCAGAATCTTTTCCGATTTTCTCTTAAATGTGAAAAAATAAATAAAAAAACGGTGGTATATTTATTTGTTCATAATTTGCTATTTATATATACGTAAGGTTAAGTCAAACTGACGGACGCTTCATAACCGGTTTAATTCGCCTTTTTTTCTAATTCTATGATTAATGGGAAGTAAGCCTAAGGGCGACGCTAGAGGGCGCCCCCAACACATTTGTCGCCCTAGGCAATTGCCTAGCTCGCCTGTAGCAATCGCTGGCCCTGCTTACAGGCCTATTATTGTGTTGTTACGCCATTGAACCCCAGACATAAAAACTGAAAGAAATTTGTCCACTACACCTTTAATTTAGACAGCATGGATGTTTAAATATATGTGTCTATTTGTTAGCAAAGGCTGTAGAAAAGTATAGTTTGTCTTTATTTAGAAAAAATGGATGTTGTAATTGTTTATTTTCATTTTGGAGCAGATTGAACCTGAGGTTCTGGTGCCTGTTCCTCTTCCATCAACACCCTTGTTTATAGATGCTGGAGATCGGCCTGTTTTCCAGTGTTGTCCTGTTTCTCTGACCGTGACTGGATGTGCTCTCTTCATCCTCTGACATGGAAGTTAGGGATGGAACGGTTCTTGAAAACCGTCCGAACCGTTCGGTTCGACTGTCTCGGTTCGGTTCGCGTGTGTTTCGTTCTGTACATGCGCTGCTCCTTTTTCTCATAGGGGAAGCGATTACACTCCAGAGCAGAAGGTGGCGGTACTGCGACCAAAGCCAACCACCAGTAGTAAACAAGAAGAAGAAGCGAAGCAGCTTAGCCGGGTGTAGCAGAAAAAAATCAGTTGTTGTGGAGAATTGTGTGGATATGGCGAGTGGGAAAGAACAGGAGTTGGAAGACGCGCCAGCAGCAGTTTATAGGTCTGTTGTATGGGACCACTTTGCATTTAGAGTGACCTACGATGACGGCGGAAAGATAGTTGTGGATAAAAGTGCAACAGTGTGCAAGCATTGTGCAACACGTTTTGTTTATGCTAACAGCAACATGACCAACATGTCATGCTAACCCTGAAATCCCACATACTCCGTCAGCGATCCGCTCCGCTTCGTCCCGCTGCGCACCAGACCGCCTGCACAAATCAAAGCATACAGCCTCCACTGAGGCTCCCGTCCGCTCCGCTCTGAGTTCCTTGGAGATCGTAGAGGGCATGCGCGAGATGATTAAATTCAAAGCAGTAAAACATGTGGAAATGATCCAGGGTTTCCGCGGATCATTAAAAATAATTACAATTCATTAATTATTTTGGATTCTTTTCATTAATTATTATTTTTCATTAATTTTAATAATTTTTTTATTTTTCGGTGTAACAATCAACATATACCAAACCGAACCGAAAACCGTGACCACGAAACCGTGAACCGAACCGAACCATGGATTTTGTGAACCGTTCCACCAATAATGGAAGTTGGCTCGGAGCTGGTCTGCCTGGCTGTGTGTTTCCTGGACGGGGCTGCGTTTTACAGCTGCTTTTTGTATCTTTGCTTCCGTCTCCTTGAACCCCAGTCGGCCTTAGCAGTTGGCCGCTCACACTGAGCCTGGTTCTGCTGGAGGTTTCTTCCTGTTAAAAGGGAGTTTTTCCTCTCCACTGTCACTACAAGCATGCTTAGTGTGAGGGATTGCATTTGAGTCAATGAGTCAATGCAATCAACTGGTTTTCCTTAGACAACTTTGAATCAATTTGACTGTATGATCTGGTTGAACTGTAAAGTGCCTTGAGATGACTTGTGTTCTGAATTGAATATCAGCTTTCAGTGTACATTGGTCATTGCTTGGCCACCCTTATTAAAATGTTCTGGCTACGCCTCTGCCTCCAATTGTTTGTTCCTACCCTCTGTGTTGGTTTATCTAACTGATCACACACCCTGGAGACCCTCCTCCTCCTCCCTCCGAGCAGCGATCAGGGGCGGGGCAGCACTGCAGCAGTGCGCCTCTCCAGCAGCTGTCTCCGGTAATGTTCCACAGATACACCCGCCCCTCTCCTCCCTGGCCCCCAGACAGGTGGTCGGACTGTGCGCCCTCATCCTTCCTATTAGAATAAGGAGAAATATATAGATCTGCTGTCAAAAGGGAAGGCTCGGCTGGCGCAGGCGCGTCCCCGATGGACTTCCAGCGTGTGACCTCGGCGATCACCGGGCGGCCAGCAGGAGGAGAGGAGCGCACCGGGAGAGCCCCGCAGATCGGATTCCTCCAGATGCCCAAGAGGAGTCAGCGCGCGGAGGGATGAGATGCACGAGTAGGGAGCTGACACGATTTAGGTGGGATTTTTCATCCGCGCGGCGGAAGGATCATTTCTGACAATCCTCCGGTCTAGAGAAGTTCCCCTGGGAGAGAGAGCGAGAGGGAGGGGAGGTGGTGGTGGTGGGGGGTTCACTATGGCTTCAGGCGCCGGTAAGGCTGCACAGTCCCCCGGGCCGGGCTCCACCGTGAACGGGACTGCGGCAGAGTTGGCCACCATCGAGCAGGAGCTCTACGACAACCAGCTGCACAGCAAGATGTGCAAGAAGATCGCCCAGCTCACCAAGGTAAGATCTGCAGCTGACAGCCAGAGACAGGCGCGCCGCCTGATGTCCATCTGACTCACACCTTCAGATGTTGCACTGAAATACAAACACACCTTTCCAAACATGAAAGGCGGTAACAATAACACTCTGATAGTTGGTGTAACTGGCTTCGTGACCGACAGTAATCTGGCATCATGACTGAGAGCAATAGGCTGCAGATCTGCATGGACTGATGATCAGTTATTCTATAGATTATATCCGCCATGCTTCTTGCTGTGTGACTTATACTGCAGCCTTCACATCTAAAAAACAAAAAGAAAAAAAAATCCCTAATAGATGCAAGTACCAACATCAGTTACCACAGGAAAGAAAATACCTGGTGAAAACACGTTATCATTTGATAGAAATGAACAAAAAAAAAACAATAGGTGATATGGATTTCCTTCTAATTGTTTCATAAATTACAAAGAAAGGGACAAACTGCTTTTCCTTCTTTGGGTTTATTTGGGTTGATCTACTATTAGTGGATGGTCCACTACTGATGGATTTGGAAAAAAACACCAACCAATAACTTCAAACTTTCCTACGCAGAATTATACTGTACTTCCCATTTTACCTTAAGGTCTCCATAATTTAAGAATTAAATGTCTTGCTCCAGATTGGTCCCTGCTGTGATGCACAGTTGCATCAGATCCTGAAGGTAAGGTGTTGGATGACTGCTTAGATTGGGATTAGTAATTCAATTCAATTCAGTTTATTTCTATAGCACCAATTCACAACGCATATCATCTCAAAGCACTTTACAATTCACCAGATCATACAGTGAAATTGATTCAAAGTTTTCTATCTAAGGAAAACCAGGTGATTGCATCGACTCATTGATTCTCTTCAATCCCTCACCCCAAGCATGCTTGTAGTGACAGTGGAGAGGAAAAACTCCCTTTTAACAGGAAGAAACCTCCAGCAGAAACAGGCTTAGTGTAAGCGGCCATCTGCCGAGGCCGACTGGGGTTCAAGGAGACAGAAGCAGAGATACAAAAGGCAACAATATGTAGTTGGATTGTGGAGGATTATTCCTGATGTGTTGGCATTAGGGGCCAAAAGTGAGCCTAGAAAGTATCTTCCACACCATTATACTGCAACTACCAGCCTGAGCGACTGATTCAAAGCAAGATAGATTCATACCGTTGGCTGTTTTCCTCACTTTCTGACCCCACCATCTAAATGTTGCAGCTGAACTTCAGATCCGTTGGATGAGACGACATTTTTGCAATCCGTTATTCTCCTTGGTGAGTGTGCGGGAATTTTAGCCTTTGATTTGACTCCTTCTTTTAGCTAACAGAACTGACACATGGCTGTTCTTCAGCTGCTGTAAGCCCATCCTCAACTGTTACATTCAAAGTCCAAGATGCTAAATACAATGCATTTAGATGCTGGCATGTGATTGGTTGATTCTTAGAGCTTAGAAAAGAACCTCAGAAACTGGTCAGCGAGTGTATAAATTAAAGTGTTGCAGATGAGTCACAGAAGTTCAACCTTAGATATTTTAACCTGATCAGGAAATTAGGGTAAACAATCTATGCAGTTTTTCTATAAACCTGAAATATTTTGTCAGCCATAGAAAGTAAAAAATAAAAATATATTGCAGAACTAGCTTAGAAAAACTTGTAGATAAGGAAGAATAAAATAAGAAAAACATACTCCACACAGCTCAACGCAGTTGCTTCTTGGTTGTAAGAGATCTTGACAAATTCTGAATCCCAGAAAATTGCAAAAAAAAAAAAATAGAAAACAAACAGTTTGGATATGTTGTTCTGAGGATAAGAAACTAATTCTAAAGTCAGGATGATTGACAGAAAATGTCTGACTAGTAGCTTTATTGTTGTGTATATTTCTCCATGTGTCAGTGGGCTGTTGAAAGTGGAACAGCAGGCTCATCTGTATCTGCTGAGCTTCTCAAACACTAATCCCTGTTATGTTTGGAGGATTCTCCCTCTCTGTGCTTCACAATAATGCTTACAGAGGCAGGGCATGACCCACTGCTTGTTGAACGATCACAATTACTGATGACTGTGTACTTTTCCTCATGGGTGCACCCCGGTCCAGCAGGACAAACACGCACAAGCAAAGATGTGTGCGCGTGCTGCATATGGCAAAGATGGCACATATAGGAGGTCAGCACTTATGTCCAGGCTTGTTAGAGGCCTTTCCTAGCACTGTCCTCAAACCTCTCATCCCCTTACCACTTCAGGGTGGTCTTGTTTCTCTGCCCTGAAACTTCAGGCACGCCATGCACCAAGTCAGTTAAGCTCAGATGACCCCGGTGAACAAACCTGAAACCAAGAGAGCAGCTGAAATATAAGAATCATCAAATCCGATATTTGGTGCAGGGGAGCCCTGGGATGCCTGCAATGTGACACATGGTTTATTTGTGTGTTTTGGGGCAGGGTGTCGAGTGGAGAGGAAGTTGTAAAGAAGTAGCCTTGGTAACTTTTTATATATAATATTCTATACGTGTAGGAACATGAAAGTACACACAATGTTGCTCAACATATTGTCTGTCCACCCCTTATGTTTAATATCTTCCATGCCCCCCAATCCCTCCATTTTCGTCCCGCCTGAACGGGTGCTGCTAAAGATAAACCAGTTGGAGTGTGTTTACATGGCGGAGCAAGGCAGTGGGAAGCATGCATCAGCTGACCATTACAAGCCAGCTGTTCTGAATGTTCATTCAACTTTTAACAGACACCCACACCCACATGCAGAGTATACAAAAATAATAATTCCCTGTACAATTCCAATATTTAGTCGTGTTACACCCGAATACCTCAATATGCTTCTTAGGGGCTTGAATTGATAGACCAACACTAAGTAGTTAAAATGATTCATCTTTCTAGAATTTTATAAAATGCATCTTACACGCAGGTTTTTTTTTTTGCAAGAACAGCTGCAGCTTTTATCAGATATGTCTTTGTCAGCAGAGCGGCAGAGCAGACAGTTTCACCACACACAACCTGCTTCTTCAATAGCTTTTTCCCTGCTACAGTCCAGCTGAATAACAATACATGTACAAAGCTACCTCTTTCTGGTGAAACATGTTCCTATGTGACCCCGAAACCCTGTGTTTTTATGAATATTATTTAATCATATTTTATCAGTCTGTAGACCACCATCTTCTGGTCAGTAGATCTGCATATTGTTCATGTTTATATACATATATAGATAAATGATATATATGTATATAGTCTCCATACCTCATGAGTTGCGTGGGTGTGTACATAGTGTCTGTTATCTCTCTATATTTCATCTTTTGCATTTATATATAAATGCATATATAAATGCAATATATATATATATATATATATATATATATATATATATATATATATATATATATACATACAAGTGGCCTATAAATAATCTGAAATCTCTTGTCTTTTGCTAAATCTCAGAAAATTCCTCTTAACAATTGAACACCACTACCACCCTGGGTAACTATGGATGTGTTGGTTTATTTTTTTTATTTTTTTAACCCTGAAAAAAAAAATAATAAAAAAATATATATATAAATAATAATAATAAAAAAAGGATGTGTTGGTTTAAGGTGATCTTTAACCAGTATTTACCAAGGTATTCTGAATGTATTAGCAGATCACCCTCTTCCTGTTTGCTGTTTCCACATCTGACCTGTCAGTTTAGTACAAGTCATGCATTGACAGGTTTGCAGCAGTGTCATACCCTTTCTATTGTCATTTGATGGATTGAACATTCTATGCTTTCTTCAGAAGAAAACCCAACCCCACAGCATGATACTGCCACTGCATACCCTGAAACGTCTGCTGTGTCCCTTGGTCCTCCTAATGCAGTTTGTGCATTAAGGTTCTCCAACTAATTTGCGATCATGACACGACAAAATAGACTAAAAACTCCAGAAGTTGACATAGCTTGAAGATCAATAGCAACTTTTTGAAACACTAGCTTATGTGCATGTATACAGGCCTCTTTTGACTGGCAGCCTTAAATCTAGCTTTGGATTGCCTGTGTCTACTGTCACATAGCTCACTGCTTTGTAATCCAGCACACTCAGTACCTTGTGTGGGATGTGTGGAGATGTGTGTGTGTCTGTCCTGCTGTCTCTCTTACTAACCTCTCCTCTGTGCACCTACTAGTCAGATCACCTCTTCTTCAGCTGCTGCTTCTCAGCTCTCCCGCACACTGGAGAAAGATTTGTTTTCCACGCCTTGCTGACTGTGAAGTTATAGTGAATAAGCAAGGGCATTGGCTTGTGAGGCTATATGAATAACACTATCGACTGGCAGGATCAATACGGGAATCTGGAGAGTAGATTTACAGTAGGAGAAAGCCACTCTCTAACCAGGCTGCCATGCTCAGTGTTCACAGAATAACACCTAGAAAATATGCTTCAGATTATGTATGTTGATATGTGAAAACTGGCACAGATATCAGCATTTATGCAAAAGGTTTAACATTTTTACAAATCATAAAAATATCTAGATTATCGCATAAAATCAGCTTTACAGAGTCTTTTGAGTTTTCTAATCTTATTTATTGTGTTAGTGTCGTGTCCACTGCTTACCTGACTTGCCCGGAGCAAAAACATTACCAATGCTCCTGCCTAATTTGCCACAGTCGAGAGATTTAAATAGCACTCCTGTAACTGTAGCATCTGAACTCCACTCTACCAGGGCCTGCAATGAATTTGCTAACTTCACTGAAAAAAATCAACAGATCAGAAGGTCAGTCTTTATACCAATATCATGTCAAGTACTAAAGTAGTCTCCAACCAGAACCAATCTTTAAAAATCAAATTTCACCAAATAAACTACAGAAATTGCGCCACTGCTAAGCTATTCCTCCTGCTGTCTCAATCTTTTACTCACAGCTTTCCTTAAATGTAAAGTTGACGATGTTCTTTTCCCTGGTGGATCATCAAAATAGGAGGTCTTCCTAATTGTCAATCATTCTAGTGACATGTTCACGTAAGGCCGTCCTAGGTGCTC